AACAATGGCACCAAGAGGACACGCCTTGACTTCGCAGCCACGCTAATATTAAAAAAAAAAAATGGATCATTTTGAGCTAACAAAATGTACACACACATCAAAACATTGGCCGAAGAAACATTCTTTGACCTTGCAGCCACTCTTATCTTCACAAAAAACGAACAAGCAAACCACACGGAACCGACTGCAGTTCGAACCCATCAACAAATTACACCTTCTTCTTTTTTTTTTTAATTTTTTATGTACGCATACAAACAGAACAAGATCATGACAATGGAGGTACCTCTCGCGAAAAAGACAAGACCTGTTCAATTCATACTCGAAGAAAAGCTTTCGCCCTATCACTAAGAAGCATAGACGCCTGGCTTATGCAATTGCCGATCGACCTAGTTTTTACTGTCTCTTTTACAACCCTTTTGACGTCATTGACCTCTTTGCATACCATCGTTGTACCGGACCACTCGGCTGAGCAATTTCTGCATTCTTGTACATGTGTCGCAATTTCGGAATTAGTCGCTTTTTTCTTTACGTTTCTTTGTGCTCAGTCAGAGGATCGTTCAAGCATCTTGAGGTCTGCCCTATATACCTAAAACCGCAAGTCATCGGTATGTCGTAAACGACAGCAGTTTCACAAAGCACAGATTTTCCCCTGTGGCCCTTTTGGCACCCTTTCTTCCCTCTTTGGAACAGGGTGAGGTTGCCCAACTTAAACGGATGCTGAAGCGAAACTTGAAATACACCTATTATGGCCAGAAATAGGTTTAATATGATCAATGATATCCGTAAATCATAATCGCGCGTTTGTATTTTGAACGGATGGCTATATTTTTCACCCCGAGGGGCCCGATTGGGTGTGCGCTCGAAAATCAGCCATCGGAGAGCGCGATGCGTCTTGGGATATTCGGCGCATTCATGACGTCACTTGTGCCAGATGGGAAAGGCTACGGCGTGGTGTTGTGGTTTTGAGCGTTGCCACTTGGTGGCGCGTCGACGATTTATGACCTGTGGCAACGTGGCCGTTTGAGATGTGCAAGGGCTGCACGCACGCTGCACCACGGCAAGTCGGCAACCACGGCACCACTGACAAAACCAGCTGTGAGGCCGGATTCTCAAAGCAAACTTACGACGAAAAAAGTGCGTACAACAAATATGAGAGAAAACCCGTATTCTCGAAACGAAATTGTCGTAACTTTTGCGCAGGTTACGACAGAATCCTACGACAGCTCCGAAGCTGTCTTGCGCACTTTTTACGATCAAATCAACATGGCCGACAGCGTCACTCAGTTACTAGGTGCAGACGACCAACGGTTATTTTTCTATGTGCTCTTCTCGCGCGTCCCGACTTCAACTAGCAAGAAAAAAGGAAGGAGTACTTGAAACAGACCACGACGAACAAGAACGCTGGATCCGCAAACACCTGAGAGAAGCTACAACGGCCGCGATTCCACCAAACAAGCGAGCTCGGCAGAATATAGTAGGCCTATACTCTGCGACAACTTTTTTTGGCATGCAGTGGAAGGTACAGGCCCGCGTCCCCTCTCTCATTTTGAGTGTGCGCGGGCTCTCCTCCTCTTCCCGGAAATGGGGGAGGAGGAGAGCCTCCGTACACTCAAAACGGGAGAGGGGACGCGGGCCTGTACCTTCCACTGCATTGCCAAGAAAAGTTGTCACGGAGTATAGCAGCAACACCGACTCGGCGCACCGTTGCTCCGGCGGTCCTTCGCCAAGATTGTCTCCCCATGACCGGCTGGCCTGCTGAATGGAATACGCCCGCGCGACCCTTGTGGACCCTTCCCGGATGAATAGTTTGATCCCTGAACTAAATTTCAGAGGTCAATCTTTTCCCCTTGTCATCTCGATCTCCTTGTTTTCCGAGGCAGCGGTGACGAACGCTGTCGTCGGAAAGGGACTCTCATTGATTCTGTCTCCTTGTTTTGCATGATATAGAGCTCAAATAAACGCCATACGGATTACCTTCGCAACACGGTATGTACACTTTGTTATTAGTATGCCATTTTTATTCTGACACGACGCTACGTCACTGTCGAGCGTTCGTACGAGCTACACGATGTCTGTCCAACCTTTCTTTGCCAAGTGTCACGTCAGTATCGGTTTGCAATCGTAAAAGATCGGTCCAGAAGCGCTTACCGAAATGCGGTCTAACAGAGCGAATCCAGCACTTCGATCAAACGCGCGCGTCTGCTCCGAGTGTGAACAGGTATTTGCGTGGCTCTTGCTGAGACAGTTTTAGTGGACCGTACGCTCATAGTTCCAACGTATTGTTTTTAACGTCGGCTCGCAGCTCGCGACACGCAGCAACTAATACCGGCCGTGCCAGAAGCATCCTCGGGTCGCGTCGTGCAAAGAGCCACAACGAGAACGAGCTCACTGTGGCCAACTACGCTTTGGCTTTCTCCGTCAAGGCTTTGCAAACGTGTTGAGGCCTAGGCTAATTCTGCCGGCACGCCGTATTTCCGCAGAACGGCACTGCTCCTATGCCACAAGTGATGTCACGAGAACTTTCCCACCAACCACCAGATGTGAATTTGAAATCATTTAATTAGGTTTAAAATTAGTTCTCCTGTGTTTCACAGTGCGATATTGGTATTTCCGAGGTGGTGCCTGTCCCTAGCCCATATTTATGCAGAAAGATCGGCTCTAAAATTTCATTTCCGTACCCCCCTAAAGTCCGAGCTGAAGACCTCATTAACGCCAAATTTTTTAGCACACGCTTTTACATTGTGTGACACGGTGTGAAAATACGGCATCACTGCGATCCTGTTTCTCGATTTCTCCTCTGCCTTTTCCTTTTCGCAGTTCATTAAGGTCACTTGCCTCCCAACGAAATCTCCTTCGTAGCCTGCGTTAATCAATCGTTGCCACTGCCCCCTCACTGCCTTAGCCATGAAATGAACACATGACCTGTTCAGAGCATTGGTGAACAGCAATCTAACGACACTCACCTTTACCGTCTTAGGGTGGCAGCTCTTCTTTGGGAGTACTGGTTTCGGGGCATTTTTTCCATACTCCCATCAGAGGGTTTCACCCACATGAAGTTTTAGGTCCAGAAACTGTAACACATCATTCGTTGGTTTTTCCACTGTGAACTTCAGTTCAGGAGCTGATGACACTATTAGTGACTCTAGCTTCTCCGCAATTCCACTCTGAAAGGTGCATACCACAATGTTGTCGACATATCTCCTGACTATACAGCTACCTGAAGGCATTTTGCCTAGTCCTTCTACCTTGGCAGAATCAAGAGAGTTCAGGTATATCTCTGCCAAAGCTGGTGCCACCGATGAACCTATGCACACTCCATCTTTCTGCACAAATTTTTGCCCATCGTATTCAACCACCGTTGAACAAAGATACAAATCCAACACCGTTAGAAAACAGTCTACCGAAATGCCCGAACCTGACCTCAATTTTGCGAGATTACGCTCCAGGGCCTTTTTTACTCGCGCCATCAGTCTGCTCTTCTCCAACGAATAATAAAGGTTTTTTATGTCCATAGAAAATATTGAGCACTTCCTGCCATGATGGACCTCCAGGATGTCAATTAATTTGTTTGAGTTTCTCAGTGAGAGCGAATCTTCAAGCCTTACATACTCTAATCCTTGTTGCAGGAATTTAGACACCACCTTCTGCCAAGTCCCGTTCTCATTTATCACTGTGCAGAAAGGAAGCTCAGGTTTATGGTTTTTTTAAAAAAACTTGAAGGGACGGCAAAGGGGATATTGAGCTCAAGACACTCAACATTGAGCTTCAAAAGAGGAAACTTATACCAATCAAAACAATTAGGATTTATTCGATACGACACGCCCGACCACCAAGCTGATTCACATGAAGACATTGCCGAGTCATCACCCCTTCTCCTGGCTGAAGAAATTGCTTGCCTTATGAACACGAATTGGTAAGAGCTTGAAAAACGCACAAACATCAAGCACAAAGTTCCTGGCTTCTGCGCTTTTCGTGCGACGTGCACACTCTTGTTTGCTTAACCTGGCCAGAAAAACAAAGGGGAAAAAAAAAGGCTCGAGGTATACCTAAGCACTTCTTATGAGTTGTGAATGCGAAAGCACGCATGCCGCTCTTCGCTCCCTTCTTTAATCTGCGGCGTACAACGCACTGACCTTGGACGTGGAACGGTGGAGCCGCTGCTTCGCAGACACGCAGCGCCATCGGGTGAGCGATCGTTCAAACTGTCGTGTGCCTTGCGGCAACGTAGTTCCTAGCAGAATGAACCCCTTAATTTATTCCATGCGCCGTATATATTGCCATGCGCCGTACAACCGATAGGAGACAAGCAAACGTGGTGATAAGTGATAACACAGTAAGGATGACACCACACAAACTGATGCGCAGCGGCCAATGGGAGCCTCGTCGACGCACACCAGGCAATGTGACTGAAGTGCAAAAGGTGCCATTGGCTAGCTTTGCACGTGGTTTCATTAAGGTGCCATTTTGCATGGTTTCAAAGCTGATGACATCGGCTCGCTCGATGAGACAGTTAATGCTTTTGCATTAAAAAATGGAGTCGAGTGTAGCCACGTAACTTCCTGAAACTCTCTCCTCCTCTACATTTCTTCTTTCTCCCCATTCCAGTTTTGGTTTCGAACAGTTGCATTTTTTTACTTTATTAGAAATATATGTGACGCTGTAGCAAAATATTTATTCGTTAGTCTTCTGAAATCATAATAAATCGCCTAGCAAAAAAAAAAAAATTTAGGAGGGGTAAGTGTTTTTTTAAGGCTCATTCACACACTTGTGTTTGACTACGACCGACCGGCTGCACAGCAATGCAGCCGGTCATAAGCCATTGCAAGAGGCTTCAAAACCGGTCTTGTTGTGTCAGCCGATCAAAGTCAAGCACAGGTGTGTGAACGAGCCTTTAGGCCTCTGAGAATGGATGGGCTAAACCTTAGGGCATGAGGGGTAATAGGTTATATTGAGCCAGAAAATCTTAAGCTTTTGACGGTCCTTGTAATCAATTGTTACAGGAGGCACAGTAGCAGCGACGGGCCTCCTGAAGGACTTCACAATGCCTTAGACTCGTCGAATCACCCCGATACTGCTTGGGTGAGTGGCTTGTGGCTCACTCTGCTTCTACAAGCTGACTGGAAAACCATTGAATTGAGGGTAGCTCATAGATGAGCCAACGTGACAACTTTACAAGTCTCTTGTCATTGATTTGTAGGGGTCTGCGACAAAAAATCATTCGGTTAGTCATCGTTGCGTTATTGTTGTCTTTTTTTTTTTTTTTCATGCTCTTGAATTTATTTTTTAAAGATTTCAAGGCTTAAATGTGTTAAGGAGAGGAATGGTGCTCCCAAGGGAGACTCTTTCGTTCAATACAGTTTGCCTGTTGTATTTAAGTGTATGTGCGTTAGCTGAGAACGTAAAAGTAACACGTCGCAGCTATGAGTTGTCCAGGAAGTATATTTGTGCCGTTGGATGTATTGTAAAGGTTTCTTTCTGAATAAAGCAGTATCATTTGCGTCAGTTTTTCTTTTCTTTTTTTCCTTTGATCGCAGCTTTAAATAGGTACTTGCCTGAAATCCTGACCTTAATTTTTCAGTATGCAGTCAGTGTGCAGTTAGAATGTATGTTTTTTGGCATTCGTCCATCTCCAAAAGAGAGATGGATTTCAAGGACTTGCCCAGTGTGGACAATATTTGTGTCTATAACGTCGGCCCGAGGGGTCACTGCCCCCCAGCCTTGACACGCTTTACTCTGGACCGCCCCACAGCCGGAGGTGCGTGCTGTGAAGACATCGACGTGGCCCCTGAAGCAGTCCAGCTCGTTTCCCGTGCACGTGCCCTTGTCCCACTCTGCGGGCGACGCGGCCGGTGAGGGCTGTTCCCTGGACAGCACCTGTGCTACCACGCCGGGGCCTCCAGGCAGCGCCAACTCATACTTCCTCTTTGGCCACGGCTCATGACGGTGCTGGTCGGGCAAACCTCCCTAGCTCGCTTGTCTTCTACCTCTCTCCATGGCCAGCATCTCTGCTGGCCACCCGACGAAAACCGGCCACTTTGGGGGCTTTTCGTGACACTTGGCTAGTCGCAGTGCTGTGGGCATTGGGCTCCTTGTGGCAGTGCGCTTAGGACTGCCGGGTTTCCAGCTGATCTGTGTGCGTGGTGTCGTTCGTGAACTCTTTTTTGGTTTCTTCGGCAGCACCATGGTGCCATGCTGGCATGGACCCTGCGTGCTTTTTTATCTTTTGGACAGGCGTGTTCGATCGGACGAGTTCTGTGTTGCCTATTTATCGTGCAACTGTAAACAAAACTTTGGGGGAAAGGGGGGGGTAAAAAGAGTGTTCATTCTCACTTTTACACATTGAGGAGAAATTTCGAGCATAGTTTGGTGCGTAATGTGGAATGTATGTCAGTTTGCTAGACATTTAGTGTGCACAAATTGTTTGCAGCAGTTACCCTTTTTTTCTCGGAGCAATGGCTTATCCAACTTGGACATTTGCTGTTCATTATGCTGCCACAGGTAAACTTTATGCATGCTTCATTACACAGCAAGCAAGAGGTAAGCAAGCTGTAAGATTGCTGCAAGGGATTTATGCTGCCATTTTAAATGCTTTCATTTTTTTAGAATATTTTACAAATGACCGGGATTTGAAACAGTTTTTAATGGTTTGTGCTTGGTATTCTGTTGTGCAAACACGCTCCAGCCAACATTAACTACATTTAAAAGCACAAACATAACACTCTTTTGGGTTTCCAAATTTACCGGTGAATTTCACTGTAAAGTGCTGCCATTGAGGCAGCAATTGTAGTATCCCAGCAGTGATTACTACATGCACAAAGCTAGGATTTAAGAAGGTAATCTCCGATTATGCTCACCGAGTTTTCTTCAAACTGTTGCCAGTGGTTGGTGACCACTCTTATAATAGCTGAAATTCTCTGAATAGAAACAATTCATTGCTCGGTTTGGTACCATCTTGCAGAACGTCTTGCACCATGAATAGAAAAATGAAGCCAAAAAATGTAACCAAATTCTTGCTTTTTTTTTTTTTAAGTGGGATGCATATTTTAGCACATCTTTTTTTATGGATACCACTGGTGTTTGCTATTTAGATATGTAACTTAAAGGGATACTACAACGAAATTTCGGCGCTTATTTTTTGGTCTATATATGTTCAAAAAAGCACCATCAAATCGAACATACCAATATCTTGTTAAAAAAGTCACGAAAGGGAATTTTAAAACAAATTAAACGATTAGCAAAGAGCACCTGGTGGATGTCGCTAACGCCTCGCTTGTAATGCCCGTCTAGCAACCTTGGCAGCTAGTGACGGAGGTTGTCTCGCCTCCGGCCACGACGAGAGAAGAGGGGCAGGAGGAACTCCCCTCTTCCAGAGAATGCCTTTTGTGTGTCACAGAAGTCGCTATTGTCCCCCTACAAGATTATAGGAGATTAACCCGTCGCTCAAAATTTGTACAAAAGCAGCCGCTTCGGTGGCTGGAACGACTAGGCCATCCTCTCGACGTCAGCCTCGCCATAGCTTTGCTCGTCTTGAGACGACCTACGTCACGATTGCGTTGGATGTCGCGTGGTCTCCGCTAGGCCTTCTCCGAGCGCTTGCCAGGGTGGGCCGTTTATAACGAAAAATACAGCCACCAGGCTCAAAATACAAACATGCGATTGTCATTTACGGATATTGTGGATCATATTCAACCTATTTTTGAACACGACGGGAATATTTCAAATTTCGTTGAAGTATCCCTTAATGTCAATTCTAGATCACTTATTGAAGTTTCTTAGAGCAAAACATGAAAAGCTAAGAAACTTAATGAAGGCCATTTTTTCTAGTTGTGTATTTGTTTTTGAAGCCATCTGTTCTTAAACATTTTATTGTAGTACAGCAGTTCCCTACGCACCTTATGAAACCTAATTAGTACATTTCAAGAGCAATAGTCCTAACCTTCAATAAACCATGAGCTTGATATTTCAAAAATGTTGAATAGCTATCCATGTTTACAGCAAAGTCTTTTAATTCTTGAACTTAAGAGGAAAAACAATCTTTGTATTGCAGTTTAGTTATATATATATAAAAAAAAAAAATGCCAACTTTGGGCAAATTGTTTGTAAGAAACTTGTCAAACATGTAGGGGGCTTTTTCACGTTGCCAAGAATAAATGACTTGAGAATATAAAATATCATATTTTTTTTATCCTTAAGGGGAGGGAGCTCCGGTAAAATTTTGATGGTCATTGATTTTTATATAATTTTCATCATGTACTAAGTATCCACCTGTGATATGTGTACGAGATATTTAATCAAAATATTCATCTTCTTTAGGGAAAATTAATATTTAAGTTTACGCATACTCCTTTGAATCACTTATTGCCGCTCGACTGGCAACAACGAGCAGCGGCACTCGTGACGTCAAATGAATCCGAGAGCAGACGACGCTCCCTACTCCATGGTGTTGTGCGTTCTAGCGATTGTGAGCATCTGTGGTTTTGCTAATAACATCTGTTTTAGGCTGTTTGCGGTATGCGATGGAGGTTGCGGAGAATTGCTGATGGGCTGTTCGGTGCAATAATACCATGAAGAAATGCAGCAGAGTGGCATCTTATTGGTTTTCGACCGAGAAGTCTGCGACGGAAGTGGGTCCGAGCAGTCTTACGCGAACGCTGGCTCCTAGCGTTTGCGTCATGCTAGGAAACGGTTCACACCTTGCTAGCAGCTAAAACCTTCCATGCCATTCTGCTTCTAAGCGGCATCTGGGTCCACATGTCGGCGGATTGCGAATGCAGCCCCCACGGGAGGTCGCCTCAGAGGTGATGCCAGCGGATCGAGTGGTAACGGCAAATCTTCTAAAATCTTGGGCTGAAAATCTTTGAACATTTTCTGGTCATTGCTTGACTAAGATGAGCTTGATGAATCATAGTTCATTATTTCCCACGGACGTTCGCGACAGCCTTTTGTCTGCTTTTGGTGCTAAGCGAAACTGGCTCAAGCTGCCCATGTGCTGATGTTTTGTACAACATCTGATGTCACAACAAAATGGTGAACCAGTAAAGTTGCAGGTTAGTTTCGGTTCCGGTTATATCGTATTTTAACGATTCAAAATTATTTAAACATTTTTGGGGAAATTTACTTGCTGTTCTAGGGTCAGTTTCTTGTGCTCTTTCAGAAAATATGTTTAGTTGAAAACATTCAAATTGATACCTGTGCTCACTCCTCTTTAAAGCATCTTAGTATAGTCAAATTCTCTGCATCCTGTGCCTTTTGACCTTGTTATGGTATGACGTCTTGTTGTGAGCGAGAAAATGAGTCTCGCAGTCTGTTGGAAAGTCTCGTCCTCCTTTAAAGGTTAACATCCTCCTTGCTGCGGGGACTAGCTTTTAACCTTTGCAACATTCATTGAAGGAGCCAGGGGAATGTGGAGGAAAGCAAGGAATTTTGGAAACCGAGCAGAAATCTCAGACAGGCGGAAAATGAGTTTGTATGTCGACCTTCAAGAAGCAGCGTCTTGTGCCCAGACAAAATTTCACCTCGGTGTTGGGAGCCAGAAAAGCTATTGGGCTTTATCATTGAATGAAGCATCCTGCAATCTCCTTTTAAGGGGGGACACTACCCAAAAAAGTAAATTTTTGAACCACTTGTCTGATTTAAATTATATTTACAAGGCTTGTTTCTGCTGATGTTGAGAACATTTCTGCCAATTTTTGTTAACCTGGGTGAAGTACAAAAAAAAATGCAAACGTTCAAAGACGAAAGTGGCGTGTCTACATAGGAAAACTATTGTTTTGAAATTACTTATATATTTGTCGTTTTCATGTGTTACATTGCATTAGGACAGCACAGAGCAGATAACTATGGAGCTATATTTCTATGTTATACCATCTTTCATGACAAAACAGCCACATAAACACAAATACACTTTTTCAGATTTCCATCCTTTGTCCAAACTTTTAGTTCTTGAGCATGAAAAATGACAAAAATAAAAAATACAAGCTCATAGTTATCTTCCCCTTAAAATTTCACCCCAGAAAAACTTATAAAAATGAATCCAAGTTGCGTAATAACAAAAGAATAGTTTTCCTATAGTGAAATTTACGCCAAAAAGTGGAATGGAGAAAAATGTGTTCAAAGTGCTCCAACTCCCACCTTTTCTTTAGCATCGGTGGACCGAAAATAATTTATAAAAAATTAACTGTGCAGTGTAAACTAATGAAACTTTCTGGGAATACCTCTAGATGTTGGTGGATGTAAATATGACATTTTTCAAAATCAACTTTTTTTTGCAGAAATTGTTTTTTCTGGGTAGTGTCCCCCCTTAAAAGTGTTCTGCTATTGTAAAAGCTTTTTAAACAATTTCGTTCTTGCCATCCACTGTCACTCTTTTCTGGACGGGAGTGAAGTGCTACCTCCTAGCCTTTGTGGTGACAGAGGAAGATATGCAAAAAGCAGGACCTCAAAAGTAGTCCAAGAACCTTCACATCAGAGCTTGCATTCAATCAAAGTGAAAGTAATGATATAGAAATCTCAAGCTCAAAAATTTCTTACTTTTTTTTTTTTTTTTTTTACAAATTATTATATTTTGCTAACCTCTGCTGTTCAAGAAAACCGCACAATGTTTTCTTTTTGGTTAGGCGGACTCTGGAAGTCCAAGTTACTGGTATGGGAGTATTTTTAATGTTAGTAGACATGATCAGAACTGATAGTCATGGATACCAACATCTTAAAAGCATGGACTGTGATTGTGGATATGCATGGGTATGGTTATGAGGATGAAACTAATTCTTGACCATATTGAATGATCAGTGAAAGTGATGAATCTTGTTCAGGTTACAGTACTCTCTTTTGTGCTAGCAACCCCATTGGTACCATCAGATGTAATTAAAGATTATTAGTCTGCAGAATAATAGTTCTAATGTGCAAATTTTCCCAGTACTGATCTTTGCACGAGTTATATGAATAACTAGGACCTTCATGGTCCAAACCTAGTGACATCTTGATATAATCATATCGAGTTGTTCAAACATGAAGCTGAGAAATACGAACCTCACTCTTATTAAAAGCTGGAAGTAAAGCAGAGTACACACATCGGCTTTACTTGCAGAGAAATGAATACCTATATTTGAGTTGTGAATAAATATGTCGGGAACAGTGTTGCTATTAAATTTGAAACAGTTCCTTGCTGTAATGTTGCCAAATTTGAGAACCCATAAAAACATAACTGAATCGCACAATTTTTATTTCAGAAGCGCTATATGACGATTATTTGTTATTTTAATGCTTCTTTTTTTGTACAATCACTTTTATTTGCATTGAGTAAATTCTTGTCAAATGAAGCTGCAAAATTCTGCCCTCTGGCCGTTAATGCGTTTTGCAATCAACTATGGTAGTCCGATTGTCGCGCTCTTGGTTCAAGGTCACAGGCAAAATTGTGGAGTGTGCTCTGTGGTGACAAAAATGCAGAGAAAATTCACCATTCCATAGGTGCCCTACCATCTCTTTCCAGAATGTAAATGCGGGAGTGGGTCCAATAGATGAAGTGGGGTGAAAACGAGCTTCAAGATGGTCGACAACCAGAAATGCTGCCAAAATGAGAGCATGACATGGATGTTGCAAAAATGTGAGGGTGCCTGAAGAGGTAGTGATCAGAGCCGCTAGTTGGAGAGTGTGTGAGGGGGCACCTCTGGTGTGTTAGTGCACCAACGTCGCTGATAAACGTCACTGAACTGGTGTCAGTCGGAGAACTTCCAAGAAGGGGAACATCTAGCCATTATTTTTCCAGTTGCCTTGCCTTGTCGGCAAACAATAGTGTTTTGTACTGTCTGGTGCTTTTGATTCTTTCATTCTGTATGAAATCAGCAGTTAAAATTCTATACTAATTGCCTTAGTGGCGCTGAAAGTGGTTTGGGTTTGTGGTTATGCTATGAAAGATGTGATGCAGGCACGTAGCCAGGATATTGGGGGGGGGGGGGGGGGGGGGGGGCACTTATGATAAAATACTGTATGAGGGGGAGGGGGGAGAGGAGGCCCCAGCAAAATGGAAGATTTTGGGGTGGGGGACACCAAGTTCCATGCCCCCCCCCCCTCCCCCCCCTTCTGGCTATGTGCCTGGTATGATGTACGCGTGATGTGCAAGTCTCGTCACAGCGACTGCTTGTGCTAATTGCTAAAGAAGAATGCCCATTCTTGCTTACTTTGGTTTTGAAAAGGTGTATGGTAGTTCCTGAAAATTAAGTTACTTGTAAGGGACTTTTGTCGACATTTTATATTATGTGCCCTTTTTTGTTCTACAGTGATGGTGAGGCTTTTTATTCATGTGCATCTGCCTCGTTTCACTGAACTGACATGGTATTAGCTCCGGTTTCTCACAAAATTGCGTCTTTTTTATCTGTAGCTTGCTGGTTAAACTATCTGGTTTCTATGTTTAAACTCTCAAAATTGCATTTTTGACACATTCATATCATTCACATAATGCTCATACATATAGAGCATAGTGGGGCACTTCTAGTTAAAAGCTGCAGTGTTCTGACATTTGTGCCATAAAATAAGTTGAATTTCATTATGGTAGGTGGGAACATCATTCTTCATTAGTCTTCCTAGGGAACAGTGACGCGACGACCACTAATGATTTGGATACTGGTGTGCACGGCGTTCAGTGCATGCTCAGTTTTTATGACCAACAAATCTTGTGTCACTAATTACAAAGGGGCCACACAACAAGTGTGTTGGTAGTCATGGTTGTCTTACCTTAAATTGTTATTTGCTGCTTAGGGGGTAAAGGCACTGCCATGGCAGCTTGCTTCCTTGTGCTGGCAGGATGTGCCCACCGTTAGGCATGGCAAGCATGTTGAGATTACACTCATAATCACACCTGTTTGGCAGGACATGGTAGTATTGTGTAAGGATGTGTATGAATGCAGATGCCTGCACTCTGTTCAGCCTTCCCTCCGACAAAGAGCCGATTCAACAATCTGTCCACCCCATTCCCCTGCCTCTAAAGTGTTGCCCGCTTTACCTGAACATCGAATTTTTCTCGGGGGATTCATGGGCCGTAAGAGGCACGGGATTTCTGCACATGGCTCATTGTTCCGACCTTTATTCGGAGGGAATTGTGAATACAGTATAGTTGCAGGAATGTGTGCATAACATCAGAAAAGTAAATGCACTGCTAAGTATTCGTGTGTTTTTGTTCAGTTTTGTCGGTATTCAGTCAATTTCATGTAAGCAGTCCTGGTTGGCTAAAAATCCTGCTGGTATTTGCTCGCATAAAATTTACACAACACTTTTAGTTTCCTTTTCCATCTTGTCATGTAATATCAGTTTGTACTTTACTATTGTGCAGTTATTCTAGTGCAACCTTTCCTAAAACTTCTGTTAACCCGAGCTGTTGATTGCTGCCAGGTGAAAATGATTTGAAGCAACATTGCCGTTGTGGTTTGAAATTGGTTGCCATCTGCAATTATGGTTGCGCAAACAACTGTTAGATTGGCATACTGCCATATCAGTTGGGGCTTGAAAAATGTTACAACTGTATGGCAAGGAGTGAATTTAGTAAAGTTGGTTTATATCCTAACTACTTAAAACATGATGCCAAATGCTATGCAAAAGACTTGGATAAAATCACCTCTAAAAATGCAGCTTCATGGAAGGATGTGCTGCAACAAGAATATGATCTGCTGTTTGCTCTTCAAATAAAGTAAGTGACAATCTTTCTGACATCCTTTGTGATGTTTAGTGCTTGCCAAGGTATTTACTAGACAGTCACCTGATCACCATTAATTTCTGCCTGTAAATATGTGCCAGCTACAGCTGTGTCATACGCAAAAAAAAAAAAAAAATTTTACACCACACTTTAATTTAAACATTGCATACTCGTGTACCGCTGTTCCGTTATAAACCTTTGATTTAACTCTCGTGTGATTGCTTTAGAGCAGGGGTCTCCAAACTTTCTGGCTAAGGGGCCAGTTTTGGGATCTGTCACAGTGTCAAGTGCCAGAGGAAAAAAGTGTATTTATAAAAGGAAGAACTATATAAATAAACCTAGATGAGCATTTAAACACAGAAACAATTAAAGTATTAAAGAAACCTAAGGTGGATGAAGACATATACTCTATTTGAAATTTAATATTTAACATTACACAACAATTGTGATCAAGAAAACTTACTAGGCATAAATCAAAGCGCTTGGGAACTTTGGCATATTCGCGCAGTCCAAAAGAGTAATGATGCTGTTTCTCCTGTTTTTTTGTGGCATCTTCGTTTGCACATTTGGAGACCGGCGCAGTTTCTTTACGAGCGCTTTATTTTGTCCCGGTAGCAGCAGGTCTGCTGGAAGCAGGCCGCGAACCGGGCTTCATTGGATGGACTGCGGGCCAGTCAGAAGACTTCTGTGGGCTGGGGTTGGAGACCCCTGCCTTAGAGTGAAGAAAGTAACCTTAATTTTGTGACCTAAAGCTCACCACTCATTGTTTGTATTTCGTAGTGAAAATCGGGCTTTGCACCTATTGTGGAAACGTTTACCGTAAAATCCCGAGAGATAGCCCACCTACCATCAAGAACAAGTCGGGTGAAGACATGGAGTGGGCTAACTTTCGGTGTTTAAAGAAATATAGCAAATCAAGCAACAAAAAAAAAGGGGTGGGGCATCTCTCTGAATTTTATAGTAGCCCCGTCTAGATATGGCACAGCAGAACTTTGTCACCACTTATCTGGGCATGTAAAAAATGAAGCTGTCGCCTACCAGCAAATTGGTGCACTTTCAAATCTTTGTGATCTAGTCTACATCTATTTTACTTCTATGATGTAATCTACACTGTTTACATACTGTAAAACATTGATGAAAATTTTTGAGTGCATTCAAGCTTGCTTGCAGTGCTTATTATCTTAGCAGCACAAATAATATTGCAGGAACGTCAGGGTTACTTTTAATGGAGATCAAAATTTACAGCACATAGCAGCTCTGCATGACAGAAAATGCTGCATGGAAAAATGATTTACTGGACTGGTGTGTACAAGATGTAGATGCGTAATGAAGGTGTCTCCGTTGGTACTGCTGCTTTTCCTTTTTAAGACTAGTGTACTTGTGTATTATAAAATTTGACAGCAAGTACTGAGTGATGCTCAAGGGACAGCGTATTGATGGCTAAAGTTGTTCCTTGTTTAGCTGTGGCCATGCATGCTTTGCCACCAAATCGGAGCCGGCACAGCCGAGTGCCAGCCATAGGTTGAAATGCTGGGTGCCTCCGACATGCTATGCCATGGATAGTGCCACCGCCTGTATACCTAATGGGGTCATGTCTATAAACACTAATCTTTCCCAGTGCACCGGTGTTTCTTCCCAGAAATCTTCCACACACAATGTTTGCACAAGCAAGCAGCAAAGGGAAGCAATATTTTCTTGCTTCAGAAAGCCTCTTACTGAGACAGACCGAATGTAACTAAGTTAAAGGGTAGTCGGGTAGAATTTTAGCTCTGGTCTGGTATATTTGCTGCTTGAAAGGACAGCATACTTCAGAAACCTATTAAAACTGATGCACAGCCATATTTTTTCACATCGTCGTAAAATAACTTTTTCGAAGGTGTGCCATCTGGTCTGCACCCATCTTGAGACGAGCTCCAACTCAAATTTAGTGCATAGAGGGATTGCCGTGTGAATGGGGGGCAATTGATTCTCATTTGGTTAGAGCCAATAGAACTGGACTCCAAGGGTCATTACTGGATGTACCGATTGTGTTTTCGTCACAATGTTTCGTCACATGTGCAGTGGGGTGACTCCGTGCCGGGTTGCTTCCCCATCATATGGGCAGGCTCTCTAGGGAAACAACTGCACATGTGACGACTATGAATTTTGTCATGTCAGAGTTTCACTCCAACTTTGCAAGACAAAATGATGGCAAAATTGCCAATCACTACACCAGCATATTTGTTACGGGCCTAGAAAAAGGGGGACATCTGACAACCATGAGAACAGGCCCCATGCCACAAAAGTTTAGATCTGCAACCTTCTATTTTTGGGATTTAATATTACCATATTGTAACATGTAACTTCTTGCTAGTCCTAAAGAAAAGAAACAATATTAATTTAATGTAATTGATGGCATGCATTTTGGACACAAACATGAGTAGGCATTTGTACATTTTAGAAACAGCAGGTTCCTTGTTCTGTCTAGAATTCACAGTGGAAATTGTGACAATTTTGAGGCATATGAAGTCATTTTAGACAATGGGAGAAATTTGAAAAAAAAAAAAAAATAGTTTGTGAATTATTTAATTATTATTTAATTATGTTGTAAAAATGGTTAAAGGATAATGGCCCCTGAGTGTGACTACTTTGATGCATGGTTGGGAAAGTGATTGATGGGTCATGAGTAATTGAGCCCTTGGCACATCTGTTTCACCACATAATGGATGAAGGCACTGCAGTTGTAATTGCATTGCTCCGCTAAACTTGCACAACAACGCAGTTGCCCAGCTATGGCCATCTGGATGCTCAAGTTATTTCCCTGTACACCGCTCTATTCAGACTGTCTCTTTTCTAAATAAATATAATAGAGCATACAAAAGCCTTCGTTGGCCCTGCTTGCAGGTGGCAGGGATGTAGCACAAGATTGGTCTGGGTACAGGCCTCTGCAGCACAACACTTGTACACACAATGGAAGACATTGTACTCGGAATTTGCATGCACCTGGCAACAAAACACAGCTCCAACAGAAAGCAAAACAAAAAAAACAAAAAAGCTCGAAGGCACTGATGACTTGATAATCAACTACATGCAACAATGCACATGCTCGTCAATATCGTTGGTGGCTTTGCACACACGGTTGGTTGTGGTTGGCGCAATTGTCTGCAGACGGCGCTTTTCCACTAAAGCACTTGTTTGACAGTCTCGGTCCGGTGGTCCTCTGCGTGACCCAGGGTGATGGGCTCCTTTCACTACACAGTCAGTCTCTGGTTTCAATATATTAGGCTACTACGTGTGCATTGCCACTGTCCTCGCAGAAATGCAACAGGCTGTTTTGTGAGCAGCTTGAAAGTGCAGGGGACTGGCTAGTCGCCAAAGTGACCTGGGCCGAGTGCTTGGCAGTCTATGTACACTGACTACAGGATTGCAGGCATGCCTCGAGGGCTCTCCTGCCATCGGGCTTGGGCGAGGTTGTATTGCACCAGCAGGATGCACGTGGTTTGCACTGCCTTCATGTGGAGTGGACACTTTCAGCTGGAGCATCCACCGCATTGGTTTTGTCCTCGTCCTTCTCCTTGGCACTGTAGTAGTTGTCCGGGTAGTCGACACGGTGGTACACGTGCCGCTCGGGGTCCTCGATGGGCACCTCTTCGTCCTGCTCCTCGTCCAAGTCCATCAGCTCCTTGGAGTATGGGCACTGCAGACATCTGAGGGTGCAAGGAAACCAGCACTTTGCATGCAACTTGGAATCTTCACATTTATCAATTTTCACACTCAAGGCACGGAGGCATTGCAAAAAAGAGTTACTTTTCTTGAAGACATTACGTGGCTTCAGAGATGGAGGTGGTTTCAATCATTTCATCTTCTCGGAATGAACGAGTCGAAATTGATGTTTGTAGGACAACCAAATATAAACTGACGATTGGTGCGAGACGATGTGCATCGTGCACAAAGAAACAATCAGTCTTAGAGAATCTGGTTTGAATAAAAAATTATGATTTACTTCCTTTTCAAGAAAGTACACAACATGCTTTTTCTTTCTGAAGTGTTTACAGCCGATCTCAATTACTGTCGATCGTACGTCAAATGGTCGGGACTGTTTCAGATACGGTTACTCCACTAGGAAAGCATTGCAAGGAAAACAATTAAACCTATGTGTGATTACCGACTTCTAATTCTAGGCATGCTACATTAACGGGGGTAATGCCGAATCCCACTATGTTTGCAGAGTTTGTGCTTACATCATTACATAGTGCAGAATGTGAAGCAGGAACCAGCCCATCCGTCTAACAATGTTTGCACACTTGAAATGAACTTGCTGCACAGTTTCACTTGGGCGCAGGAAGAGTTCACCCACCTGCTCTCGTTGATCCCATAGTTGATGCACATGCTACCAACACATTGGCAGCAGCCATCGTGGAACCACCGGTAGCTCGAAGCCCCCATGGAGAGGCAGGACTCCCGGCACTTGTTGAGTGACATGCACTGTGACATGAATGCCACAGTACAGTTCACTTGCACATCCTCCTCTTCACTTAACTCAGATGTATTTCCACTTGACACCACTGGAGGAAGGACACCGCAAAAGAATGCCTGTCAGATACACAAAGCATATTGGCGATTCATTCTAACAGGAAATCTCGCCGGTGAATTTGGAGCTGGTTTGGATACCTTATTGCATTATATTTTGTTACTTGCAGTTGCCTGTGCTAGCATTAACAGTACTATAAGTGCCACGAGACTGGGCGTGCCATGAAACTGGGCATAGTGTCTAGGGGATTGTGCCCACCTCTCTTCTTATGCCCGATTCACATGACGTGATTTTGCTCGTAATTTTCAGTCATGAAGTCGGGCTTTTTTTTTTCTTTTTTTTTTTTGCTGCATGAAAATTGCAAGCAGAATTACACCATGACATGTGAATTAAGCTTTCACCTAACTGCGAATTTAGTTTTATACTTATCGAATTAAGCTTCTGTGTATGCTATTGTAACCCACCTTTCGCAACCACTGCCTAGTTAGGGTCACCCAACTAGTGTTAATTACTGCCACACGGCAAACGCTCGAAAAGATAATGCAAATTCAAACTGTTTCATCGGATGCCAGAGACAAGTAGCCTTTTGTTTAAAAATGGGTGCCGCATTGCTCTGTATCCAGACAACCAGTTCATATGAGACCCAATTTATTGCTGGCTTTTCGCGTTCAAGGAAGTAAATGCGCCGAGACAATGTTTGCATGTAGCAGCTTATGATCACTATTCTGCCCGTACTCCTTGACCAAAGAGCATATGCATTATTCGAGGGTTTAATGCATAACACGTTGTTTAGTAAATGTACATTTTATAATTCTTGAAGAAGCAACTACAATCTCTTAAAATGTGTGGTTGAGTAAGCTGGATTAAAAAGACATGCAAAATCAAAATTTAGTACTGACATTAAGCTGCAGATAGTAAAGGTCCGTTCACACGCTTGCGACCGAGAGAGACCAGACCGGTTTTTAAGCCTCTTGCGATCTCTTAGGACCAGCTCCGCTGCAGTGCATCCGGTCCTAAGAAGTCGCAAAAGGCTTAAAAACCGGTCTGGTCTCTCTCGGTCTTACTCGGTCGCAAGAGTGTGAACGGCACTTAAGTGAGCATGTTCTTTAAAGGGAAGCTACGGAGCTTCTTGGAAAAAATGAGTTTGAAGTGAATTCTAGTGTATTTTTACCCCGTGAACCCGAATACCCAAACCATTTGCTGCGTAAGTATTGTTAAACGCGAGAAAAACGCGAAAGACAGTCGCTGTACGTGGCGTCATCGACGGATCTTTTGGCTGCCCAAGGCTAGGGAGGCGGGGCTTCAGCCCTATTTTGAAATTGCTCGTACGGCTCTCCGGCGCGTCGCATTGAAATACAATTTTGATATTTGTTATTCTAAAGGCCAAATGAATGCAATTCAAGCGTTTTTTCTCAAATGTAGAAGTGCCCCATCTTCCCTTTAAGAATGTTGACTAATAAATTGTTAATCATCTCTGCTAGCGTGATTATTGTGCGACGTGACCGTTTGTTTGCAAGAGGTAAATAATAGCTTGATCCTCATGAACGCTTCCTCTGCAAAAAATTAGTATGTGGAAACAAAGACTCCTGTTCCATGCTTTTTGAATGCGAAGACTGTTCTAAACATTTGGTAGTCTAAACGATAAATAATCCCCCGATTTGTTTGATAATTGAGATGTTCACAAATACAAACATTTCGAGAAGAGGGTTTTCCTCTCAGATCAACAGTGTAACACATCCTTGAACTTTGATTTTGTGCATTGCTTATCTGTAGGATTCTGTGTTTTCGTAGTTTATTTTTTATCAAAATCGGAGGGCGTTTTTCAGAGTTTATTTTTTGCCAAAAATTCTGCATTTATCCGAGTTTATTTTTGTTTGATTCCCAATTCTCCAAAATTCAGAGTTTAATTTCGCATTGTTTCCTATTAAAAATAAATAAATAAATGATATCCGGGTGTAAATGTATGCTATATAAAAAATGAAATGTGCTTGTTTCAATTAATGTTTCTTCAGCTTGTTTGGTGTTGGTGCCATTGCCATTAGTAATACTAATCCGTCCCACGCCAAAAGTTGCACACGTGTTGCTTCAATAAACGTCAATACCTTAAAGGGATACTTCAATGAAATCCGAAATATACCCTTTCTGTTTAGAAATAGGCTGAATATGACCCACAATATCCATAAATGGCAATTGCACGTTTGTATTTTGAGCCAGATGGCTGTATTTTTCGTTATAAATGGCCCACTCCGGCAAGTGCTCGGATAGCAGCCAGGAGAGAGCATGTGACATCCAGCGCAATCGTGACATAGCCTGTCTCGGGACAAGCAAAGCTGCGGCAAGGCTGACGTCGACAAGACGATTGCAAGCAGGGCATCTGGCCGCCGCCATGTCTCTACTCTTGCGTGTGCAATTGCAAGCTTGCCAAAGCTGCGTTCACGTGCACGCTGCACATGCATGCATGCATGGGGCACCAGTGAGGCTATAGTTCTAGGTGAGACAGGCATCATCACTACCTGTCAAGGTTTCTAGACGAACGGTACAAACGAGGCTTTAGCGACATCCACCAGGTGCCATTTGCTAATTTTTTCATTTGTTTTAAGATTCCTTTTCATGTCTTTTTCAACAAGAGATTGGAAAGTCCGATGTGATACTGCTCCCTTGAACATGTGTAGACCAAGAAATAAGCGCCAAAATTTTGTTGTAGTATCCCTTTAAAATCAATAAACTCCTGGAGGTAGTCGCTGGGAAGCTCGTATTCATCCCATCCTATTCCATCAACCTGCCCCATGGTCGCGCGAGGTGGAGTGGTAAAGGATACAATAGAGAAGCTTCAACTGCCCCTCTTCCCCATTTTGTGCAATCTATATGGTCATAGCTTTCACTGTTACAAAAACACAACCTCTTCTTCCTCTAAAGCACAAATAGTATGGCCGAAAGTGAAAACCAAAACAGTGGCTTTTGTTGAGACCCGAAAGTACAGAGCGCGATACTGTTAGCGCGAACAAGCGATTGCCAGTTTTTCCAGTTTTTCTCTTTGAAATCAAGGGATGTCATTCAAGTTATTATTGCTACGGAAAGAGCTCATTTAGTTCTATAATGTAAGCGATAAAATTCCTTTCTCACTAATACTATTTCGAAGTAAAACGCGCCAATGTCGTGTTCGCGCTAACAGTGTCGTGATGTGTTCAATGGTCTGCTGTCCTGAATGAACCTTGACGAGATAAGAGGCAAGACCCAATGGCCCGAGATTTGAAAAATAACTGTGGTGGCATTTTCCCAGGACCATTCACCCTGTGCGCTGATCAAATTTAATTGTAAAATACCGTCATCTTTTTTTTTTCTTTGGAAAAAGGTGTGCGTGGCGGGGGGGTGGCATTGGCACGTCAAAATTTGGAGCTTATCGGATAAATCCGATTGACCAAAATTTTACCGCCAGGTACTTTTTGGATTTATCCGAAAACGTGGAACCCTACTTATCTGGTACCTTGGTCCAGTAAACCATAGCTGAGAGGGGCTTGTCTACTGAGGGACCTACCAGCTTTGAACTTAATGTCCTTGTCGTGCACAGGACTGTAAAGGGCCACGTGGACGGGGAACGTGTAGGAGCGCCATCGCAAGGACCGGTCGGCCTCCTCGGTGAGGAGCGCGAACAGCCCATGGGTTGGGTCTGGCAGATCCTCGATGTTGGACTTGTGACTTAGAGAGATGGTTTCGTTGGCCCTTGGGCACATCTCTGCGAGACCAACAGAAGGATGCACAGCTTAGAAGCACGAATCATGACACAAATAAGAGCAGAGGCTTACCACAGCGGAAAACGCCTTTCTACTCAATCTCAGGGGTTTGCCATCGTGTACGAATTATGAGCATGTCGAACTGCATTTCGGGGGCCAAGTCAGAAAAGAGGTGTAATAACCCCCAAGGAGCTGACATCCGAGGCCATCTGACATCACGGTATCATGTGACCACATGGCTCCTGTGAAGGGATTCTCCGTTCATAGGAGTTTGGCCCCAATCATTGTTCCCTCCACATTCACTCTTAGGTTACAGTGGAGACTGACCTTCTCGTTTATGTCCTTCAAGTCTTATAAGTTGTGGCATGCCAGCACTCCGCTATGACAAGCATTTTTACTGTTTGCTATAGAAGGCTTTGAAACACATTTCCTCATATTGTGGAACCCAATTCACATCCGACCTCCTGACACAGAAGGAAATAGAAAACACAATCAGTTTGAGAAAATTTGTGTTGTAAACAGTTAAATATTGATTTAGTAACAAGTTGGTTGTATGAATGTTTGGAGTGTGAAGTTGTAGTCTGCCTTGAAATGTGGCAGCACGTCTGTGGAGTGAGATTTTAACTTGTGGCACCCAAGCTGCAGTGCATTCGGCTGCTGAACCCCCAATTTCAATAACAGATTTTCGGAAGCGTGCAAATATATTCATAGACAGATAGTCACAACAAAATGGAATTGACTACTAAATGCATGTATATTTTAGGGGTGTACCGTAAAATACCGGACAAGCGCCCACTCAAACTTTGGAGATAATCGCAAACAAATGGGGATGGGCCCTTCTCCGGTCATCAATTTTACATATAAATGTACTGTGTGTATTTTCTCCGATCCTGCAAATTTGGGAATGGGCGCTTAGTGTGGTGTGGGGCGGATGCACGGTATTCTATGGTATACAAATTTCAAAAATATGGTACCCACCAATAGTCGCAATGAATCCCCTTTTTTTAACAGCAACAGTGGTGATTGGTATCTTTTAAACTAAAAAGCTTGGACAAATTACAGAGGTACAGGTAATTAGCAGAAGTTCAGAGAGCAAGTGGTAGATTGCAGATTTCCACATAAAGACCTAACATGTGTGCTGACAGTGCTACCTGCAGTGGGGAAGCTCCTTTGCTGTGTACTGATGTAGCAGGATGTTATGTCAGACTTTCCAAACGTGGATATTTAAGTCGAACTAGAGGCTTTCATTATTTGCCCTGTGCAAACAAGGTACTGTTTGCACAGTGCCATGTAGACTAGGAAAGCACTGAGCACCAACAATAGAAGCTAAAAGGGTCAAATGCCCACAATTCAAGGTGCAACAACATACTGCCATAAGGTATGAGCTGAACCATGAAGGTAATTTCAATTTACTATTTACAAATATGAATATTTAGTCGCTGTCAATTGGGTAAACAGTGGATTCTATAACATTCAAATGTCAATGTGAATGCACGACGAAAATCTGCTCATATTCAAAATCACAAATATTCAACTATCCTCACAAATGCTTAGGAAAACATGGTTTGAAACGTAGCAACTTAGATAGTCGTGGGCTGTCCATATTTGGAGGTATCGGATGTGGGAGCTTCTGTACATACTGACTATTTTGAAGGACCCAGCATTGCTCTGGGACATGACACTAATTTGAGAAAACTTGCAATAAATCATGATAAAAAAAAAAAAAAAAAAAACTGCAGGGTGGCAAGGTGTTATTGGCACAACTGCACCGTGATAAGGGGTCTGATCTGCAAACCTGATTATATGAAGTTATGCAAATTGTGTTATCACCTGCTTGGCTTGTTTCCCTAGCCCAGTGAGTGGTTGAGGCCACTTAGGCTTTCCGATTTGAATGAAACGATTTTTTCCGTTTTCTCTCGTTTCTTTTCCTACTTGGAATCTCGACGGCTGGCATATCGGGACCCTCGACAGAGTCCTGCAGTTACTATACAGATAACATCTTCCTTGGCCAAATGGTTCTAAAACTGGGGCACCCTGAAGAATAGGATGAGCCTTATCGAATGTTGGTTGCAGGAAGTGCGGTCCTTCGGTTTTGTTTTTAACATATTGATGAAAGCTTTCATGCACTATAGCGTGATACTCACGCTATGAGCTATCCAGCAGCCCGTGCATCACAAAGTGGCTCTAAAAACTTCAAGAAAGATGTGCCAAACTCTGCTCTAAAAAATGATGAGAGTCGCATCGCAGAGTACACAGTTTAAAAGCATCCAAAAATCAAACAATGCAAAAAAAAACAAAAAAACTAGCAACAATCAGCAACACTTTTGTGAGAGGGTGGAAGATGGCACGTCAAACTAAAATAACTTATTGAAACAATGCAGGTTTTCATGCTTTTGCGAAACTCCTAAACTGAGCCAATGGAAAGTTGTAGGAGGTCTGTATTGAATTTTATTGATATCTTCTCACAACCTGCACAATGAATGAATAAAGAGTCACCTCTAACCTCCTTCAAAAAGTGGCTTTGAACAAGTGCTACTATTTGTCCTAGAATGTCAACAAGTTTGGGGTTTATCACAGCTGCAGCAGCTTTTAATGCCACCCTTTGAAAGGCAAAAAAATACCTTCGACTGGCAAGATGTTTTATATTTGTATCACAGGAACAACCATAATACTGAATTTTTTTTTTTTTATAAATTTTGGTCTATCTTGGTGTATGCATATAACTGAACAACGTTTAAATATTAGCAGCTCACCCTACCATTGCTAAGGCAGTCTCAGGTGCATGTGATTCAGGTGAATGATATGTTACGCTTGGAGATTAGAATAATAATAGTAATCTTTATTCAGCCTAAAAGGCTGCGACACCACAGAAAGGCCATTGGCCCATACCTGAGGCCTGCAGTGCCGCATTACTACAGACAAAACAAAACAAAGGAAGATTTTCATATGAAACACACACACACATAACACATGTACGCTCGCACACACACTCACGGGGGAGGGAAGAGAAATGGAGGGTAAATCGTTGGAGGTGGCTTGATCCTATGAATAAAATCACACTTGTTGCTGTCTTGTATCAGATGCTACAATCCAAGCCTCAGCGGCTTTACTGAAAGTGCCGTTTTACGGATCCAAATTAATGGGTTTGAATCCTAGCTAAGGTGTCTGCAATCCGATATAGTGCAAACGCTGCTCATGATGCAGTGTAAGTGCCACGTCACAGATTTTGGTTGCGATTAAATATGTCCCTAAATTATTCGTCAGTCCTTTGCTGCGGTAAGCGTATCAGCTTGCTTTTGTTGGTTTGGCATGTAAACCACCAGAATTTCATTCAAACTTTACAACCTTGCCCTCGCTCCTGGCGTTGTACTTCATTATTGCAAACTGTCATTGCATAAGAAATCAAAGATAAGCATATGTTTATTTTGCTACCACGCAGCTGCAGCGCAAGAGCAGATAAAGTTTTACGCAGAAAATCCCACATTTTGCTGAAGGATCTGCAGAAACAAACAATGGTGAACAATAATCTGAACACTTGCTCCCAGCACCATATCGCCCCATCCATAGTATGTAGTATGTAATGTCCGGATGCTTAGTAGACTTAAAAAAACTGAACCGGATACTCTGAAACTACAGTAGTCACTCATCTCTTAAAAAAGATCGATAAATATTGTCCTCATTTAAAATTGTAAAAAAAAAAAAAAAAAAATGGACGCATCTCCACGTGGTGAATGATGTTGATTGGGGCGAAGCTCTGGTGGTGCTGATGATACTGATTTTATTGTTCATATGTGGTGCTGATTTTTTTTCTTTATTGCTAATAGGTAGTACTGAGTTCCCGGTTGCGTTTCGACTTCATTATTACTGCTTTATGGTCGGTGAAATGCAGAGCCAGTGGTGGTTCTAGCGGATCAGCTTGGATCCGCTAGAAGCCGTGGGAACGCATCTCCAACGCTTAAGTCAACGGTACATGTCAGAAAGAGAATGTGTGGTATGGATTTGACCGCAGCGCCCTCTCATCTATAAACGTTGAGCCAATGCATGCAAAGTTTAACGCGATTATATACGCATTTGACCGCAGCGCCCTCTCCTGTATAGACGTTGAGCGGCTACATGCAACGTACGGACGCCGGACAAGGCTGGACCCTAAGGAGCTTCGCCCCTAAAAGAAAAAAGAGGTGTGTATGTTTATACAGCCTAAAACTTAGTCTGCCTCAACGGGCGACTGTCTCTCAGCTGTAGTAGATGAGCAATTTAGCCAGTGCAGTAGAACCGCTAGCCTGAAGTCTTTAACGTGCACCACTTAGTAGTGATACACAACCGCACACCGGTACGATGCTCAACGATCGAAACGGGCAGGGGTGCGAGCCTTCGCTCCATGTGCTCCGAGCTGGTGTGCGCTAGACCACTCGGCCACCGATCACCCCCTCCCCCCACCTTTTCTTTTTTTAGATTGTAGAGCACCAGTAGTGTGTGTCTCACTAGGAAGAGCATGTGTCACTCACCTACACAGGAGCAGCACTCGGTGTAAAGGTAGTCAAGGCAGTAGAAGCAGTCTCGGCTGCAGGTGACATTGAGCTTGTCGCACTTGCACGACTGGGTGAGCATGCACTTGCTCACTATGGATGCACAGATGGCTTCGTTGCAGGCCAGGGTCAGCCCCAAGGCACATGCTGCAGCCACCAACAGGGGCAACAGGGCCCGCTGCATCATTTTGCACTGCAGGAAAAAGCCCCTCGTGAGTGTGCACCTTCCGCGAAAACTGAACGAAAAAAGACATCGAGTTGTGCTAGTTTGCTGGCACATGGTGACAATGAAGCGTGCAAAATACAAACAGATGAATCGAACTGGACAGAGAGAGTGGTATAAAGATAGGCTAGACTGTAATACATAATGACAAATGAATGCAAGAATGGCAGAACAGGGGCCAAACTCAGCCCAAAGTGGTAAACTGCTGAAAATGTGCTAAAAGGCAAGCTACTGTGCCTTGTAATGTTCACTTCTCTGTGTAATACCTTTCTGCGTCATTTTATCATTCAGCTGGGCAGATAAGGTCAAGGTCGGAGCTACCTACTGCATCTGGGTGCTATTTGTTTTGCTCAATCTGAGAGCAAATATTGAAAACAGTTAATTGTTTTGACATATATCCTTTTTAAAATGAGCCATTTAACCCAATTAGGTGCTAAAAGAATACACAATGAATTATATACTGTTCTTTCCAGAGTATTGCAAAACTTCCCATCAGAAATGTGGATATATTTTCCACACAGTGCTGTTGTATTTTTATACATTTTGTAGCAAAGCTTTTCCGTATAATAGATAAATTGGTTTGCTTAGTCGAAACTGCCTCGTAATGTAATTATTCTACTACGGCAAGTCGTATTTATTGAATCGACAACACTGAGTTTCATACACCCTGCCTTATTTAGAAAACTACAAATTCCTTTAAGCGTGCTCAAGTGTTGCGTTCTCTACCAGCTTCTCTACCGGTTTAATTTGTATTCCACCTACCACCTTCAAAGTTAGAAAATCGTTTGAAGTATTCATAAACAATACAACCCTGGCAGCATATTTACGTGTCCACGCTCGCAGTGTGTGTTCATTTTGTAACTCCTGTGGGCATTGTTATCGTGTGAGCTCTAAGAGTGCATAATGTACAAATTCGCATAAGATTCTAGACTGGTATGCAAAAACAAAAGTTCAACTGGGAGCTTGCTACTCGCTTTCCTTCCTCCTTTCCGTTGTGGCGTGAAGCATTTGAAATATGCGAGATTCCGACGCCGCGTAGAACGAGCGCACTCGCACGACGCCTTTACGTGCAGCAGAAAATACTACCCGCTAAATATTAGGCACAAAAATATCCCCGGTCACGTCATAAACCATATCCCTGCTGTGTTTCATATAAGCATCAAACAAATCCGTTTCGTGTATAGGACGCATGTTGGTTTTTCCTTTTTTTTCTCTCTCTCCCCTTCTTTCTTTAATGCGTCTTTTTGCGCGGAAAAGAAAGTGTGCGTCAATTTCTATTATTATTTGTTTGCCTCCAAGCAAAAATGTAAACAACGACATCCAATCAGCTCCTGCCATCGCTACTTGCGGCGCGAACTGCACGAGCGCCTGGATAACATCACTTCTACGACAGACCAAGCTTCTGCAACGATTCATGTCCCACACGAGTTCGAGCACCGTGCACCTGGCGGTTCGCTCAACCTGAACCCCTGAACCGATGCCACAAGCTAAAATCGCGAGGGAGTGGTGGCGCGAACCTGCTAGGTTATCGGCGCGTGTCTCGCGGAGCCAAGGGCCGCGTGCTTGACGCGTGGCTCGAAAGCGAACGAGACAAAAACAAAATAGAACTACGCACGAGCATTGTCTTTACTGTCTGGAGGTGACCACGTTCTCTACATCTCTATCAAGCACTGGCAGCATGTGTCACAGAGGCAGCAGCACCGCTGACGACGCGGCTCATGGCCGAATGGTCTTGTCGCATCCGGCGCTTCCAGGACTGTCAACTCGCGAGGCTCCTGCGAAGACCCGCGTCTCCGGGGCTTGGGAACGGCAGAAAACGTTGTCCGCCAACGATACCGCTGCTGCACCGTGTATTTTGACGCTGGAGGCGCTCGCGAGTGCATGCGAGTGCACGCGCGTCCAGCTCGGATGGCCGGGAAGACGCCGAAGACGCGCCCGCGGCCCGGAGCACGCGCCTGGGGCTCGCCACTGCTCACCTGGGGTGCTCCGGTCGTAGCTACTCGGCCGGCGGCGAGTCCTGGTCGCGTCGGGGCCTAGCGCGGTGCGTGGTCATGGTGTCGGGCCAGTGGCGCGGCCCGAGCAAGACGGCGGCTATCAAAGCGACGCAACCCGAGAGAGGCCGCTGGGGCCCGGGCGGCCGCGATGGCGCAAAATGGAAAGTCGAGCCCCTGAGCAGCAGCAACGGCGGCGTCCACTTGGCGTTGTGGCGGACGGAGCCAAGTGGGCCGCGGCCAGGCAGGCCGCGATGCAGCAGGCGACGTGCTTGCGGCAGCGCGTGTGTTTTAGAGAACGGGGGAGGGGATTCCAAGTCCGACAGCGACTCCCCCTTTTGTGCGGACGAGTCCAAGCGAGAAGGCCCGAGGCAGTGCAGGTGCAGGATTCCTGCGCTCCCGCCCCTTGAGCCCCCTTCTTCCAAAAGCCCCTCTTTCCTGGCTCTTTTTGCTTCTGCGGCGGCACTTTTTTGCACTGAGTACAAGTGCTTCCTCCCAGGGTGGTCGTTCCCAATGTCCCCAGAGAGCCAACTACACTGACCCAGGAATGCGCCAAAAAAGCCACAAAAGCAAAGCGGCACAAGTGTTGATTTCAAGGCGAATGTGAGTGACGAGGGGGTGGGGGAGGACGTGCGGGGCCGCCAGCCAAGGCTCTTTGCGCGCCTTTATCTCGGCCTTCCACGGACTGCTCTTCCCATCATCGCCGCTGGCGTGCCGGCTCGCGCTCCACACCGGTTCCCGCATTCCGCCGGGCTCCTCCGGACGAAAAGCGCCCACCCCCTCACAACCAGTTGAATTGCGCCACATCGCGGCCAAGCGCCCCACTGCCGGCCGCTGCCCTTCTCGGGTCCGCGACGCGCTGCTCGGACCGGGTCTTGGGCGAGCGCCGCGGGATGCCCTCGTTTCGCCTCTTCATCCTCCGCTCTCTCGGGGCTCTCAAGGCCTTTCCCCGGTTGCCCGACGCCCAACAAGACCCCCTGCCCTAGCCGTGCGCTACACTGGTCCCCGACTGGTTCGCCAGACATATCAGCCGCGTCTAGACACTCTAGAAGCCCCGTAATTCGATCCCCCGCTTACTCTCACTCGCAGACATCCGGACGATTAGATAGCGCGCTCTTTTTTTCTTCGCCCTCCTTGACGGCCTGCGCGTTTGGTCACCGTCAAGTGGAACACATTCAGTTGGTACGTCCTTCACGCTTTCGCGCAAACAGGCTGCATTGTTGATCGCTATCGGACGCCTCCGAGGGCCCGAGTATCTCTGGGCGCTCTGTTTGACAACCTGTCTCAAAGCCGGAAGCCGCCTTCCTCCTGGCACTCGCCCGTCCGGCCGTGTACTCTGACCGCCCCGCGGAGGGCGTGTTTTGAACCCGATAACTGGTTGGGGGCTCCTTCTTCGGGCCGCCGAGGAAGCCCGAGCTCTCGTGGCGAGCCGCCGCAGTGCACGTTGCACAACCACTACCGGCTTCGCTCTGTTCCCTGACCGACCATTCCTTGGTCTTTGCACCCTGCCAGGGTGAACAACCCGGCTGCGCTGTGCACCTTTGCCCGCGTGGTTCGTCACAGGCACTTGAACTGCTTGAACAAAATCATTCTCGTAGCACGGGGCGGACATTTCTGTCTGTGGATCCTCTGCTATGCATATTGTTTTGTATTCCCTCCTAATCACCGTGACGGAGCGGATTGCCAAGGCAGATCAGACCTTCTTTCTCGCTGCTTTTTGTTTTTAACAACGCGCCTCCACACGCATGCTGGCGAAGTGCTCTTCGGAAGTCCTTGGACAATGCGGTGCACGTATGAAGCTGCGCAGTAGCAACCACCGTGCCGTTCGGAACATGCACTGCTTCCGTCGTCGACTGAAGCTACGTGCCATTTGCAAGTGCCTCACGCGGGATGGATCCGCCACGTGTCGTCTGGTTTTTTGACGTCCACTCCACCAATGATGGTAATGACTTCTTGGAGGTTACTTTTTTTTTCTTTATTATTAAAGTGCTTTCTCTGGCCTGGGGTCACGTGTTGCCCGTTTCATTATCGGTGTCCAGAGTACATAGTTGCAGAAACATTGTGCACAACGACGGTAATCAGATTCACAAATTTGAATCCACTGGTGAAGAAAAAAAAAAGGTCTTGCTTTGTATGTTTATGCAACCTTGATGTTGGTACGCCTCAACGGGTGACCGGCCTCTTAGCTGTAGATGAGAAATTAAGCCAGTGCAGTACAACCGCTAACCTGTTTTTTTTTAACGTGCATCGCGCAGTAGTGATTACACGAACGCGTGCCGGTACGAAACCCAGTCAGATCGAAACGGGCGGGGGCGGTGCGGATCGAACCCAGGAAGTTCCCAGCGCCAGCTTTCGCTCCACGCACTGGTGGAACGCTGAAACAACCATTTTATATGACTCACACGCAAGACCTTTTTTCGCGCATTGTCGCCGTAAGGTGAGTGTCATGATTTTCATTGAAGAAAACCAGTGACCCCCCGCCCCTTGTCTCTCTCTCTCTCTCTTTCTTTGTTTTGGGGGGGGGGGGGGGGCAAGGTTTTTTTAGTGTGTGTTTGTGTTTTTTTTTTTTTTATACAGAAAAAAATAATTGTTCAACTTCTTCGAGAGGGAGTATTCAGTGCGTCTCAACAAATTTGTTGCGGTGCATTTTTTTTTTTTTTTTGCTGCATGGATGAGTTGTATGTAGAGTATACGGTCCCGCCCCACTAACGCAAAATACGGAACAGGTAATTAAGAGCAATGAGCCTGTAAAAGTGATACTGTTGATACTATCGTGCACTGCGAGATAGTAATTTCAATCTTCATCTCTCTCTTCCACCCGTGAATGGGCTTCAACGGTTCCATTTCAATTTGCTGGAGTCACTGACGTACCAACTTGTTTTTGAGTGAGGGGGGTAAACGAGACCCCCCCCTCCCGGGTCGGGGGCGGTGCCCTTGGTATCCCTCGGGCGCCGCCGGCCTGTGTTCGCCGCGCCCAGC